GGAGCGATGTGTCTAATCTTGACTACGATTCAAAAGGTTTTCGGGATAAGATTAATTATCATCATTATTCAGCTTTATTTATTCTATCTTGATAAGTAAATGATAACCTTGAAAAAACTTTTTTAAGGAGTAACCGTATAATCCTTCGATGGTTAACAAAAATAAATGATCTTTGTTTTCCAATTTATTATAGCGGACAGTACAGCGTCATCTGTCTCTCTCACTCACTCACTCACTCACTCACTCACTCTCTCACTCACTCACTCACTCACGCACTCACGGACAGTACAGCGTCATCCGTCTCTCTCTCACTCACTCACTCACTCACTCTCTCACTCTCTCACTCACTCACTCACTCACTCACTCACGGACAGTACAGCGTCATCCGTCTCTCTCTCTCTCTCTCTCTCTCTCTCTCTCTCTCTCATCACTCACTCTCCTCTCTCTCTCTCTCTCTCTCTCTCACACTCTCTCCTCTCTCTCTCTCTCTCTCTCTCTCTCTCTCTCTCACTCTCTCTTCTCTCTCTCTCACTCTCTCTCTCTCTCTCCTCTCTTCTCTCTCTCTCTCTCTCTCTCTCTCTCTCTCTCTCTCTCTCACTCACTCACTCACTCTCTCTCTCTCTCACTCTCACTCTCACTCTCACTCTCACTCTCACTCTCACTCTCACTCTCACTCACTCACTCTCACTCTCACTCTCACTCTCACTCTCTCTCTCTCTCTCTCTCTCTTTCTTCTACACACAAAAAACACACACACACACATATATATCTGTGTGTGCGTGTATGCATGTATACATACATACATACATGTATGCTTGTATGTATGTATATATATATATATATATTTAGATACAAATATACATACATACATACATACATACATACATGCACACACACACACACACACACACACACACACACACACACACACACACACACACACACGCACACACACACAGACACACACACACACACACACACTATATTACAATAAATAAAGCGCAAAACCTACCATTTGAATAAGCCTAACGACTTTTCTATTATTGCTATAATTACTTGAAGAAAAAAAGTCGAACACATATTGTAGCATCTACCTTAACCCACCCTTATTGTGCATGCAGTAAGGCGTGCGCTCCATAGACGTATGAATTTATATTTCCTTTAACAAATTACTAAACGGTTAAATGTGATTAATGGATATTTGGGTCTAAACCATAGTCATGCTTCTAGCGGAATAGACCTAATGAGCCATTTTACCTTTTTTCGAGAACATTGACATTTTCAAAATGGAGAACCGATCTTCTTACGTGTTCGAACAGGTTAACTTATTCAGCAGTTAAATATCCCAAGTATACTGAATTAAAGTTGTCTTCTGTCTTCTTGTCTTCTTCTAGACAGTTCATCCTCTAATGACAATTGAGACATATCTATTCTTATCGATATACAAAGAAGACCTGGACCTTATCAAAGGTTAGTTCTATTTCCAGATAACCTGCTTGTTCTAACGGTACAGCCTCGTCAAGTTGCTAGGGTGTTAAATCTAAAGCTAAAATCGTTCTCCTCTTCTCAAAGGATTCCCTGTCGTTATAATTCTTTTCCAGGCCCGCTGTCTGGTTAGGTTGATCCGTGAGGAAATGCGCTGGAAACTATTATTAACTGGTGCTGTCAAAGGTATGAGATTTTTATGTCTAGAATAGAGTGCATTTTTTTGTATAATTTCCCCCAAAGGTCGATGAATCTTGAAAGATAATATTCATCTTTTTTCAGGATTGTCATTAAAAGGCTGGTCTATGGAAAGATGACGCTGGTCCGCTGCCAGCATGTATAAGCGATTTGTTGTGGTATACGTGTATACCATGGGATTTAACTCGTAAGAAGCATTAAGAGCATCATAGCCGATGAGAAAGGTCTATGCTTTGGCACGTGAAGCGAGTGTGGCACTCAAACTCCACTTTTTGTCGAACATCGGTATTTTATAAAAAGAGATGCCTTTGGTTATGAAATTCGAGTCGAATAATAAATTCTACTTTATCCATCATAAAGGCATCTAAGCTGTATGAGTCTACAGCCATCATGTGTAAATTTCCATTGCCTTGATCATGATTTTTTTTTCTCATTCAGCTTGATGGCCTTGCTCATAACCTTGAGTAGAAAGCTTGAAAAGGCTATCAAATGACCATTTGTTGGCGGTATTCGATATTCGGCAATACTGTTTTGACGTAAATACTTTCCAGAAGTATTTTATTGTCGACGCACGGGAACATTTCACTGAGACCACCCACACATAACTGTTGAGCGGTACACCTAAATGATTCCCTGCAGCCAGTTCGCTCATGCTCGACAGACACCTGGCTGTATATCTCACGATATCTATCCCTAAACTAGCGAAAGGTTATCAAAAACATTCCTTCTATGCCTCCTTGCCGCATCTAGATATAACTATTTATCTTTTTATTTCCTGATTTTTGTGTCCTCTTCTCTTCCCAACTAACACACTTTCCCATCCTCTTGACTGCAGACAAACCTCTACCCTCTAGTGATTGTTTTAAGGGTCTTCCTTCATTCACATCACCTAAGACTTGCCATCTCCAGTGCCGAGTGGTCTCTTATTCTGAGGGCCACCATCTCGATGTTCTATTTTACCGACTACTTACGTATAATTGGCATTACTCATTTGGACAAACACAATCGGAATGTGCATCTTGAAGATTTACCGCAGATTCTCAGAATCTCGTAGGTTGTGCAATATCTGAATAGCAGAAAAAAATCTACATCCGCTAGATATCTATATAATCTATATAAATATCTAGCATCATGAACGGATTCGTACAGTATTGTCTTTATTTATAGGCAAATATACAGGATAATATATTCCTGGCTCGAATTCCAAGAGCTTCGCCATGCGCGGCTCGAAAGAAAATGCTATTCCGCGCGTCGATCCCTCGTCGGGACTCGGGTTTCCGCCTAATTTCTAAGAATACACCTTTCAACCTGATTATCGAACCTCAACACAGATTCATGTAAATTAAAGTATGTTGTAATTTAAATTTGTAAATGACTTAAGATATGTGCCTCTGCCTCTGAAGGATCACTTTTGTTCTGGTTGACAGATTTGAAGACCAGGGCATAATTAGGGTATCTCTGGAGGTGTTCTGTTGGCATCTGGGATTGACATTTAACGACTAAACAAGCTTCCCAGAAGGTCAGCCTTTTCCCGATTACTTGAAGCAGTTGTTCCATCGAGCTTGGTTGGTGGAGGTATTGTGGATTCCCGGGATTCCCCTTGGTGTCGATGTCTTCACTTGCTGCGTGGCCATTTCGGCGACATCGTTGGTGGATGTGAATTCATTCTACAGTCGTGCTGATCTGACTGAGAAGGTACGCTGATGCTGGCTAGACCGTGACCTCGGAACTTCCACCAGAAGCCGATTAGTATACCGTTCTTGTACTTCTCTCTCGGCCGTTCGGCGGGAGACGGAGGCTTTGATAAATGAGGTACCTGCTGACGTCGCGACAATGTTCCAGCGAGTCGATGGGACAAGAGTTGTTGGCTTCCTGAATAAGCCTGAGAACCCGTTTTTTCTATCTTATCCGGCCTGTTGAGGTTGGTGGGCGCAGTAGACCAGGCCAATGAGGCATATTCTAGATGTGGTCTAATCTGGGACTTGTACAGTGTGAGAATTCCTTGGAGATTCAGGATGTGAAATATACGTTGGAGAGTTGTCACCTTCAGAGAAGTTATTTTGCAAAGCCTGCTGACATGTCTGTTAAATCTGAGCTCATTGTCTATGTCCACATCAGGGACTGAGATGAAGTGCTTGAGTGGAAGGGCGATGTTGTTCATTAAGTTATTGTTCTTCTTGACATCTGATGCGGCTGGAGAACGGGATACAATCATAGCCCGGGTCTTGTTGGTGACAAAACTTATTTGCCATTGTGATCCCCAGTCGTGAATTGCTTGTAACTTTGAATTCATATCCATTGCTACAGAGTCATGATCCTTACGCAGGTATGAAATAGAAGAGGTACAGTCTTCAGCATACACTGACGTTTTGGGACGTTCCCTAAGCATATCATCAATGTAGATGTTCCATAGGATTGGGCCAAGTACAGATCCCTGTGACACTGACACATGTATCGGGTACTTCTGAGATGACTGATCACCGATGACTACTTGCAGTGCTCTTTCAGTGAGGTAATCACCAAAGAGCCGCAAGAGATTGCTGTTTATGCCTCTTGCTTGCAGTTTAACAAGGAGCCCTCTGTGCCACACTCGGTCAAAGGTGCCGGCGATATCGAGGGCGATTTACCAGACTATTGTGACTGGCGTCCAGAGCATCTTGACAGTTTTTACTTGTAGTAGAAGGTCAGCAGTCGATCGGGATGAACGAAAGCTAAACCAACTAATGGAAACAAGATTGTGTTTCTTCAGATGTTCCATGAGCTGTTCTGCAATGATCCTTTAAAATACCTTGCTGATGCATGGCAGAAGGGAGATGGGCCGGTAGTTTGGATTTGTTTTAGATTGTTTCTCTTGCAGAGGAATCCCTTGTTTCCTTCCAGATGATGGGTCAGCAGCTTTCTTCGATACCTAACAGCTGGGATGACTCAGCTGCACACCTGCGGAGCTGATATCATCTGATCCTCGTGTTTTCTTTGTGTTTAAATTCTGAAGAATCACTTTTGTTCTGGTATTACAGATTTGAAGACTAGGGAGTTGTTTGTGGCATTTTGAGGGTATCTCTGGGGGTGTTCTGTTGGCATCTGGAACTATCATTTTTCGACTAAACAAGCTTCCCAGAAGGTCAGCTTTTTCCCGATTATTTGAAGCAGTTGTTCCATCGGGTTTGGTTAAGGGGCGGTCACACGAGCGCTTTTTTCAACAAACAGTTTGTGATATGATCCTGTAGCGGGAACAATTTTTCTGCGGTTTCCCAACTTGCTGGTCACACGGAGCGAAAAGAACCATCGCGTATACACACGATATCAGTGACAAACAT